GGAAACAAAAGAAAAAAATAAACAAATGGGACTACATCAAAGTAAAAAGCTTTTTCACAGCAAAGGAAACCATCAACAAAACAAAAAGACATCCTACTGAATAGAAGATATTTGCCAATGATACATCTGATAAGGGGTTAATATCCAAAATTTATTTAAAAACTCATACAACTCAACACCAGAAAAACAATCCAATTAAAAAATGGGCAGAGGACCTGAACAGATATTTCTCTGAAGAGGACATACAGATGGCAAATAGACATATGAAAAGATGCTCAATGTCACTGATCATCAGCAAAATGGAATTTAAAACCACAATGAGGGCCGGTCAAGTGGCTCAGCTTGGGAGCACCAGCTCTGAGCAGCAGGGCCCCGGTTCAGATCCCACATGAGGGCCAGTGACACTGCCCTCTACAGCTAAGATGGTGAACAACAGCTCAACCTNAGCAGGGCCCCGGTTCAGATCCCACATGAGGGCCAGTGACACTGCCCTCTACAGCTAAGATGGTGAACAACAGCTCAACCTGGAGCTGGGCTGCCATGAGTCGTCAGCGATGGAGTAGGCTGCAGCCCCTGCTGCAGTGGGCTGCCATAAGCTATCGTGAGTGGCCGGCAGCCAGCGTGAGCAGTCGGCAGCTGGCATGAGCTGCCAAGAGCCGCTGTGAGCGGCTATCCAGAGGCCAGCAACCAATCTGCCTCATCCAGGAAGAGTGCAATGATAATACCAACATGGGCCAGTGAAGCGACGTCCTCCACAACTACACTGAAGAACAAAAGGACAGCAACTTGTCTGTTTCCCTTCCCCTGATTCCCCAATAAAATCTTAAAAAAAAAAGCCACAATGAGATAACATCTCACTCCTATTAGAATGGCTATCAAAAAATCAGCAAACAACAAATGCTGGCAAGGATGTGGAGAAAAGGGAACCTTTGTGCATTGTTGGTGGGATTGCAAATTGGTGCAGCCACTATGGAAAACAGTATGCAGGTTCCTCAAAAAATTAAAAACAGAACTACCTTATGACCTAGCAATTCCACTCCTGGGTATTTATCCAAAGAAATCCAAAACACTAATTTGAAAAAATATATGCACTCCTATGTTTACTAACTGTAGCACTGTTCACAATAGCCAAGACATGGAAACAACTGAAATGCCCATCAATAGACAGATAAAGAAATTGTGGTACATTTATACAATGGAGTATTACTCTGCCATAAAAAAGAATTAAATCTTACCACTTGCAACAACATGGATGGACCTAGAGGACATTATGCTAACTGAAATAAGTCAGACTGAGATAGACAAATATCATATGATCTCACTTACATGTGGAATTTAAAGAACAGAATAAAGGAGCAAACAAAACAAATAGACTCATAGATACAGAGAACTAATGGTTGCTAGATGGGAGGTGGATTGGGGAATGGGTGAGAAAGGTGAAGGGATTAGGAAGTACAGATTGGTAGTCACAAAATAGTTATGGGGATGTGAAATACAGTATGGGGAATATATCAATAATGTAAAGACTATGTAGGGTGTCAGATGGGCACTGGACTTATACCGGGGGGATCACTTCATGATTATATAAATGCTTAACCACTGTGTTGTACACCTGAAACTAATATAAAATAATATTGAATGTCAACTATAATATATATTCAATATTATTCATATATATATATATATATATATATATATATATATA